CTTGTTTCTGGTTTTGGGCCCATCATCACTGCTGGCATCTTCTCTGCCACTCTATCCTCAGCACTGGCCTCTTTAGTTAGTGCGCCTAAAGTTTTTCAGGTAAGATCAGATCCAAGCTTTAAAGTACTGTATATAATAAATTGCAGTATTGAATGATGGAAAAATGTAAATTATTTAATTAGTTTTTCTTATAGCGTTTGATTATAAACAGCTTAAACTCCAGTGAGACAACACAAAGGCTTTTGTTTCCGCAGGCTTTGTGTAAGGACAACATCTATCCTGGCCTGCAAATGTTTGCCAAAGGCTACGGCAAGAACAATGAACCCCTACGAGGATACATCCTGACCTTCGGTATCGGTCTGGCCTTTATCCTCATTGGTATGGCTTCACTCATTGCTTGCTTGCTGATTGCTTTTCATACTTGATCACATGCAAACGTACAAAAATATTAGCTGGAAAGTAAGAGCACCGTGGTTCTCAGAACCCTTGTTCTCTTTTGTGAGAACTGGTGTTTTCACGCAGTGTTTGTTCTAAACAGAAAAAACCCACGTTTGGTGCATGCTGTACCTGTGCCCTTGCCTAAGGGACATTTAGAATGATGTCATGATACTAGAATTTTAATCACGATTTCTATACCCAGAAAAATACTCTATACCAATGGGAGACTTTTGACCCCATGCTGAAACAAAAGAACTAATGGCCAAGAAGTCATTTCTTAAAATAGTTATGTTGTCAGCTTTCTAAAATACAGCAAGTAAAATAGATAAACAAGTAAATATATTTCTAAAGGTGCTATTGACATGATGTTCTCATCAGGTGTTGGTGACAAACCATCCAATCCACACTTTCAAAGAACCCCTGTGTGATCTCAAAGTATTAAATCCGCTTACTGAAATTTGTTTAATACTTCAAACCAAGCCTTTGTTGGCGATGACAGCTTCAAGATGCCTCCTGTATGGGAAAGCTAGTCGTATGCATTGCTCAGATGTGATTTTGGCTCATTCTTTTCACACAGTCTTCTTTGCATGTTTGGATTGGATGGGTTGTTGCCAATATCTGGTGAGATTTCATGCCAGTAGCACTTTTATTTACTTTAAAAACTGGTGATGTGTTCAATACTTGTTTTACCTCCTTTATTTGATTTTAGGTTTTAAAACCTGACATGTCTAAATATTGTAATTATTGTAGAAGAAGAACATCATGGAAAACTTTCAAATGAACCTTGGATAACGTGTAGTATTAGTTATGCTAAAATAAATATAATGAAACAGAGGGCTTGATGTGAAAAGGATTGAACCAGCAAACAATAAAATAAGACGTATAATGATAACACAGTGTAATAAATTGTTGTAAAAGTAGAATGGTTAAATTTTACGTCTTGTCCACATCTGCAACCTCTTGAGCGGACCTGGAGGGCCTCTCTCATCCAGCACTCACACTGCTCAGCCCCAGTCTGCAGCTGTATATTGGCACCTCCCCCTCTGTAGGCCTGAAACCCACCTGATTCAGCTGCTCTGCTCCACATTTCATTCTTTGTTTGCTTGAACTGATACAGAACCAGGATCATTACTGCCCTCGGAAATTCATCCTAAAGTGTTGTCAGTTTTATGAACATGGCAACTGGTCTAAAATTTGACAATAACTCTTGTCTGTAGTTTTTTGTTTGTTTGTTTTATTGCAAGCTCCTAATAAAAATACTTTTACAGACTGTTGAACTAAATTGATATTGATACAACAGCTGTTGAAAACTTCACCTTTTTAGATGCCTAAATATTTAATATTTTACAGTAATGGCACACTGCATGACCACATGCTGGAGTCAGCAGCAGCCGATATGTTTACTGTCTTCATCCTGAGAGTTTGAGTGTTTATTCAAAAGGGTTTTGTTTTTTTTGTTTGTTTGGTTTTTTTTGACTGGACATAAAATCACAGGTGAAATTTTTGACTGGTGCTTTTCTTCTTGCAGCTGAGCTGAACACTATTGCACCCATTATCTCCAACTTTTTCTTGGCATCATATGCCTTGATCAACTTCTCCGTGTTCCATGCATCACTGGCTAACTCACCAGGTAAGATCAGTACATTAAGAAATGGGAGAATCTAAGCATAATAAAGTTCTTGATCAACATATTAAGACAATAGAGGAAGTTATTGTAATCCTAATCCAGACTGTAAAAAG